GCGAATATCCGCAGCCGGTTTCAGCTAAGCAACACGGCCACTGTTCCCATGTCGTGGACTTTCAAGCCACGAAAATGACACATTTCCTACCTTTGTTTTTCCTCACCATCCTACTCACGAGAAAACTTGATTCGGCGCTCATGTCCTTAGGGGGGACATTCTGAACAGGGCATTCAAAAACCGCTGGTAGGTGACACTAGGACTAAGCCCAGGACTGGGAATAAACACAAGGGAGAACAATGGTTGCCCACAATTTCTTTCCCTTCCCTAAAGCTTAGTCCTGAGTTTTATCAGTGGCCCACCCACTCCAATGTCCCCCCTAAGGACATGAGCGCCTTGATTCATAGCTTAATCGTGAAACGTGCATCGATATGCCCAGCTCTATCAATTGTAAAGTAAATGAGCGTCATTTTATCACATCATTGAAAGCGATGCATTATCACGTGGTCATACTAGGAACTTAAACACACTACGTTTTGAGTGTCCTCTGATCCTGGATGTTTTGTTGCTCGTAACTTTAAATGTCATTTTCGTGTTAAGCGATTTTTGTTCACATGCAACTTTTCCTTCTTAATTTTCAACAATGGTGAAGGAGCCATACCAGCACAAACGTATCGGAGGAATTTATCAACAGCTGCCAGTACATTGTTTACGTGCTACTTATAGTGAGCTCACTTTTCAGTTAGACATAAAAATGAGCAGTGATATCACCCTCGTATAGACAAGGGCCCACACGCGTTTATTTAAGGGTAAGCGCTTAGTTACTCACTCCCTTTTCTTGCGAGTGCCATTGATGTTGATCGCTATGGTTATGGCTGGCAGTCTTTCTACCAGTTTCCCACATATCCGTAGACAATCTTGATCAAATCTCCGTTGGCTCGCTATATCTCATTGCCCTAAATTATTGGCAACTACTGCCGACGCTGCACCCATTTTGTACTTCTTGTGAAAGTGCGCCGCGGATCGGTACAAATGTTACTTTGTAATAATTATTCTAGGTAACGTCACGCTAGCGTGAGTGCTTTGGATGCGTCACGTGTAGGGCGGAGCCAGTCTCAGCTAGTTCCTTCTTTCGTGGATCACTCGTGATAGCTATGCCAATGCTCAATCTGCCTACTTTGACAGCGGTAAGTGGGTCAAGCTGATATGGTATCAGTCATTGCTTCTTTTCTCTCTGTGCCAGAATTTCTCAAAAGATTATCATCGTTGATGGAGGACTGGCAGGTGATGCCCTTGCGAACATCAAAACCCGGCAATCGGCCTTCCCATCCCCGGGGTTAGCTGATTGGTGTTAGACTCGTCTGAGAGAGTATAAGTACTTAACTGTACATTGGCTGGCTCCCGCAAGTTTTGTATGTCAAACTGCGTTCGAATGTAGCTACAACTTTGAGATTAGTGGACTGCGTGGTACATATCACGGATTGACCAACGTCAAATGATCCCCTATTGCATGTTTTTTTATCCTATGTGGTAGTCGTTCGCAGAAGTAAATTCATGACGTTTCCCTGAGACAGCACCGTTTACAAACTGCACTAGGTTACTTTGTCACGTGTCCTATCCTTCGTGCTGTTTGAGACTTGTCTGATTCTGTTTTCATCTTCTGCATGGTGTTTCATGGTCGACGTTAATTAACGCCCGTAAGCCGCGTCCGGTCTCTGCTGCCGAGAATCATTGAGCATTTAAGTGCACGATAGGCTGGCGTAATTGAAAAGTGAATGATGTTCGAATTATTGTTTCTGTCTCGCTAGAACCGTCTCAGTTGGCCGCTTTGAACCAATGTAGGGCCTTTGTCCAGTATCTTTGGCAGGTCAGTTTGAATTGTTGAGGTTATGCAGTTTTTTGATGATTGGGGGTAGTTTTTGTATTTGGAGACAGTAAAGTGTGGAATAGTTGTGTAAAATTTGCGGTCCAGTTTACCATTAGTTACATTGTTGTGTCCTCCCGCGTTGGACGTTACATTTGAAAGTTTCCGGTATGTTGTGGGGATAGTGGTGAGCGTGTCATGCAGTGCTTTGTCAAGGTTCAACGACATTGTTAGTACTCTCGATAAGGAAGTCAAAGAGATGGGAAAGAGCTCTCAAAAAAGGGGCGTATTTGACGTGGGGGAGGGGAGGGTTGTATTTAGCAAAATGTCCGCCACAAGTGGCCTACCCTGGAAGGATGAATTATTCGTCCTTTTTATTTTGTTAAACCAAAAGTAAATATCCCGTCAAATACATATAAAACGCGTTCGTGCTGAGTCTCGGCTCTTCACAAAGTCGTGTGCTTTTGGGCAGCTTTGATCACTGTAGCTTTCACTTCAATATGCGCAACGTTCAATATTTCTACATTATCTTACTCAACTATTTAAGAAGCCGCCCATTGGTCGAAGCGAATATGGCCGCGTCAAAGTGGCGTTGTTGCCTGGCAAGGGTCTCATGGATTGGGTACGACTAGCGTCTGGCAAGGTATGCTTGTGTAACCTTATCATGGCTATCTTCACTTTCTTATATTTCGCTATTCTTCGCCATTCCATAGACTTCCTTTCATTAGGTACTTGCCAAAAAGAGGATGTCCGTGGATCACGACGAGCTTATGAAACACAACAAAAGGGATGACTGCTGGGTACACATCTTTGGGCAGGTTCGTTCATGAGATATTTTACCGTTTGAATTTCTTGGAATGCTTGACGGCAAATTTCATCTACACCTTCAGGTTTATGACGTCACCTCATACTTGGAATTTCACCCTGGAGGGATACCAGAGCTGATGCGGGCCGCAGGCACTGATGCCACTGATCTTTTTAATCAGTATCATGCATGGGTTAATTATGAGAACATGTTGAAATCATGTCTTGTCGGACGATTCACGGGAGATCTCTCCAAATGTAATTTTTTCATAAGACTTGTTTTGTCTTACACCTTAAATTGCAATTATTTCAGTACCGCAGCCTGGTCCGACCACAATTGAACAACCGCAGTCTATTTCAGCGCAGTTGAATGCTATGATTATGAAAGGGAAGCAAAAAGATGAAGCAGAAACATATGGAATAAGGTGCGTCACACAGTGCTTATAACTCCCATTCAAAGTGTAATTAGATTCATGATTCATTGAAAACATGCTTCCAAGATTGTTCAATTCCTATTTAATTTGTAGTATTGCCAAGGATTCGAGGACATTGAAAATTAGTTCGGACAAGTGGAATTCGTCTAATCTTCGGCTGGGAAATGTGATTGTTAATATCTCCAGCAGCAAAAATAGTATACGAGTTGTAGTCAGAACTGTTGCACAATCTATCGAAGTAAAATGGGGTGAGCTCCTTCGCTGCATTATTCCTAAAGTCTCTTTCATTCCATAATTCTTACTAAGTGATGAATTCAATTATATTTTAGATGACGTTGCTCTAAATTCTGCAAACTGTGCATACGAAGTCCTTGTGAGGAATGGAAGTATCCTGCTCACTTTCGAGGCATTAGACGTAGCAGCAGTTCTCGCAACAGCGAATCAATCCATCAGGCAGTCACCTCGTGAGGATGTTTTCCCTTTTCTAATGAATTTTTCAAAACTATCATGCTGCATACAGACACCTTCATTCACTTGCGTGCTTGTGAGCTAGGTTTTCACCAATGTACGGTACTATTTCCCCACAGCAAGGACGTGTGCTCTCTTTGACAACTTTTGCCGTTCCCTCGGCGCGTTGGAGCCATTTTCCCCTGCGAGGGACGCGTACCCTTTCCCAATGTCCATCCCTTCCCTCACCTCACATTCGCGTCAAAGTACAGACCATGCTTGTGCAAGCCTCTGCTGCTGGAGTTTTAGAGATGCAGCACTGGTAAAATTATTGAAAGGCTCAAGAAACAGGTATGGTTAAGGTCCTAGTCTGCAGCCTCAGTGAGAAAAAGAGGGTTAACATTGGGAAGGGGCGCGTCTCTTCAAAAAGAAGCGAATTGCGGCTCCATATATCGAGAGTCCACCGCACGACGCCACTTGCCGCATTTGTCGCGGTGGACTCCGACATTGCACTGTACTACATATCTTTTCTATCACTTTCCATCTTGTTTCATCAAAATTTTTCTATATCTTGAAATAAAAAAGTTTAGTTTTGAAAAGGTGTAATTTTACCTAGTCCAATACCATAATCAATTGTTGCAGTTCTTGGCTACCATGAGTGCGTCATCGAGGAAAAGCGTCCCATATCTCACGATACTCTGCTTTTCGTTTTACGCTTGCCGGAAGGATTGCTTTTCCCCGTTGCTGAAGGGCGGCATGTCTCTTTTAGAATAAGGAAAGGAGGTACATATTCATTCCAAACTTTCTTATCTTTTGTTGGCCTATTTCCTATTTTTATGTCACTCTTAGAGCAGGTTTTTAAGCATCGAAGGTATATCGTCCATATACGCCTGTCAGTTATGGGTCGTTACCAGAAGATCCTGAAGAGCCGGAGCGTGCAATATACACAGGAGCGGTGAAGATCACCTTTCTAATAAAAATTTACGAGCAAGGGATCTGCACACCTTCTCTAGGGGCGTTGAGCGTTGGTAAGTTTTGATTGGTAATAATAAAGTAATAACTGTTATTCGTATAATTTTCCCGCAATTTACTTCACGTTATTTCAGGTGACACGATTGCGGTCAGTGAACCTATAGGAAACATTGATTTATCGGCATGGATTAGCACACAGAACTGCTTGCTCATGTTAGCAGCAGGCACGGGTTTGACGCCTATGGTTAATGTACTTAGAGCACGGTTAAAGAAAATGGCCAATGAAAGCATGCAGAAGTAAGTTCCGAGATGCAGGCGTCGTTTATTGAAGGCAAGTCCGGGATTTCTCGTCGAATTAAGCCTTTTCCCCGAGAAAAAATGTAGTGGTACGCAAGCGATGAGTATACACTGATATTGACGACTTGACTAAACCGAAGCGTCAAGGCCCTAAGATGCAGCATTGGCCCTGCCTAACCGTAGACCCCACCCACAAGTCAATGCTCATATTTCGCCTCACGCTCTCGAATAGAGCCTTTGTTTTCGTCCTTGGCAACAGTTTTTCCCACTTTTCACTACTGACGTTACCTCTCACATCTCCATTGTTATAAAGCGTAATAACACTCAAATTTAATCCCGGACTTGGCCTTTTGAGTCAATTTTATTATTACCCCTTGTTATAGGAGTAACACGAGATTACTGTTATTTAACAAAACAGAAAACGATATAGTTAACGATGACTGGTTACCAATGAGATGGTCAGATGAAAGAATTACGGTGAGTCTTTAAAGGCTAATAGGATAACAGCAAGGATAAAAATGTTACTTTGTTAAGGTGGAACATATTCTCAGTAATCCATCTCAAGAATGGAAAGGGCGTACGGGAAGAATAAACGCTGGAATGTTGCCGGCGGCTCAGGAATCATTACGGGTATTAATATGTGGGCCAGAAGGATTCAATGCAACTGCACACAAGTAAGTTCATGCGTAACCGAATATGTAATGATTCTGATATAATGATATTGTTAAGGCTGTTACTTGATGCCGGCTACAAGAACGAAAATATTCACATTTTTCAAGGCTAGTCAAATTATCACTGCCAAGCTTTATTCGTGAAATGCACAGCAAGCTCAGCAGTGGGCAGAATTTCTGTGATGGAGATTGGAATTGGAATAAAGCATTACTTGCTGTGACGCTGCCATGGCCGCACTGCGTGGAAGTGAAAATGCATTGGTTAGAGTATAGTGAATTCAAGTGAATCCATTTATTCTCTTTCTCTAACCAACCATTCTCAATATGATACCAGTAGTCTGAAAAGACACGACATTGATAAATGATTATGACGTTATAGATACTCTCATAAGTGAACATTTTTTGAAAACAGGGTCAAACAAATCAGTAAATACAATATGTATATCACATCTGTAAACTAAACACCATTGTAAGGAATTCCTCGTATCGTATCGTTATGACGCCGTCGCGGTCGGTGTCTTTGTCCCTGAAAAAGAAAAGCTAATTCGAGGGTTCCACTTGATGAGGCCTAAGGAGACCCTGGCCCTGGAGCAAGCTGTCATGTGTCGAGGGAAATTATTTTTTTTTTGAGGGAAACTCGAATCTCGCTCAATACCCCTCCCCTTTTACAAGAGCTTACACAACCCTCAATGTGGTCTAGGTCCAAGTTTCCGTCCTCCTGGCCCCGACTTCTTCCGCCCTACCTCAACACAACTCTCAAATAGCTTCTCTCGTATAATATGTATTAAGGACATCGAAAACTAATTTTCAGGGATATATTGTACTCTAAACTATATAGTACAGTATAGTACTCTAGCAGCTAATGAATGTTTCCAAACAACCCTAACTGTCCTAATTTAAAAAGCTTGAAAATCACCACAGTCGATGAAGCTAACGAAAAAGTTACAATTATAAAACAAAATCGAACAAAAAAAATCCTACGAATTCGGCAGCATGAGCGGAATGATTCCAATTTTCTATGGGAAGCGTTCTTATCTTAGCTATACCCTTGAACTGAGATTTAGAAGTTCCTGGTTCACTAACCTGAAGGCGGCAGTGAGGGTCTGTAATACGACGCACAATTGGATGAAATCATCAAAATTGACGTGACCAGTGTGTGTGCGATCGAATTTCATCATCAATATATTATAAAATTGATCCGAAAGGCGATAACCTAAAAGAGCCGTTCCGTTTGAAGTTTGGAAACTAGCAAAGTCGACTGAAAACGTACCAAATCGAGATAAGGCGTTTTGAAGCTCTAATTTGTCAATATTACCGCTATTGTCGAGATCAAAACCACGAAAACAGTTCGTCCAGTCATTTATGTATTGCCACAAAGCCTGAAAGGGAGGAAATTCTCTACTCGACGTAGAGTAGCAACCCCTAAATTTTGTTCTTCAAGTTCTTCAATAAACGAGAGACATGGAAAAATCAACATTCGAGCTCTTCGTCTACTGCAAACACTACTCAAATTACAAGATCTCTCCGGTAATCTGAGCATGTCTTTCCACTTTTTATGAACTACATTATAATATGAGGACAGCAATTATGAATGGGATGATTTCCAAATGAACACGCATTACTGTATAATACGAACAGGAGAATATCCAAAGTAAAAGAGTTGCAATTAAAAGACAAATCGTAAATATAATGTTACAAAATATCAATCAACCCGAAAAAAAGAAACATCAATATCGTTACCGGAAAGTTCCGCTCTCAAATTTTGATTTTTTCGGAACAGTAACTGGATGGGTATTCTGTTTTGCAAAAATCACAGAGTAAAAGAGTAACTTCATTTGAACATACCTGGAACTCGTTGAAATTTATTGCTCCGTCTCCATTCGAATCAAACATTCCTAAAGCGAATTAAGATCAGTGTAAAAATTTACTCTTGCTTCGCCTTTCATTTAGAGGCAATTATCACGACAGCTGGAGGATGGTCCAGTTTGATGAAGTCATCGAACGTCATTAGTGGCCTAGGCTTCTCAAAACTGGAATGTGACTGGGAGTCCCACAACACCCTTCCGCCCATGATGTCCAGAGGTCATCGAAAACCGCACCGCCCTTCGACCGTCGTGATCACTGCTTTTATTACTCGAAAGTTTCCATGCTTTTATGTAGTTTAGTTTTAAGTTATTATAATTACAATGGTACCGAGCTACCGGTGACCCATAAAAACTGTATCACATTCCAATTGAAAATCAAAGATGAAATAAGGAGAATGAGGGGCAAAGATGAACAGCAGACGTACCTATCATTAAACGACATGTTTCTGGGTTGAAAGGGGTTCCAGGTGCCATTGGAAAGAGCACGCTGCAACTCATCAACACTTATCTGACCCGATCTAGAAAATAAGCAGTTAAAATGGAAAGACCACAGCAAAAAACAGTTGTTACAGTATAACCAGAAGTTGGGTTTGACGCAAATTTGTACATCTGTGACAAAAGATAGTAAATGCGCTCTTATCTCACCACCCTTGACTAGATAAAAATATCTCGCCAT